TGTTCAGAAATCTGGTGTTGAGGACAGGAGGCACAAAGTTTGTTAAATCTTTCCCAATATTCAGAAAAATTCTCCCCAATCATTTGTTTAATCCCACATATTTCTTTCCTAATTGAACCTATCCTAGAAGCTGGAAAATATTTTTCTAAAAAAGCTTTGTGTAGAGCATTCCAAGTAGTGAAAGAACCGGCTGGCATGTAGTACAACCAGTCCTTTGCCTTATAAGCTACGGGAAAGCCCTCAACCTTATTTGGTCTTGAGCAACCCCTTCAGGCACCATAGCACCACAAGTAATCAGAAATTCAGAGATGTGCCTAAAGGGATCCTCTCCAAGAAGACCATGGAATTTTGGAAGTAAATTTATGAAGCCAGAATTCAGTTTCAAAGGCTTTTCTAGCTCAGCATATGTGATAGAAAGCGGTTGAACATTTAGGTTAGGGGCTGCCAATTCTCTTAAAGTTGTCATCTTTGGTTCAGATTTTATTTCAAAAAGATTATCAAAGATGCTATCAGAACAAGAATCAAACAAATCAACAGCAAGCAAATTGGCAGGTCTATCCTCAGACTCAGCAACAAACTCGCTATTAAAAGAATTGGGTTCAGACACACTTACCTCAGAGTTGCTACCGTTTACCTCTATATCACCAATTACTCTTCCACTCCTCAAGCGCATGCAAAAATCAGATAGCTGCAACTCAAAGAGAATACACAAGTATTAGAATTCTTATACTTCATTCAACTGTCAATAATTACTGAGCAAATAACAAACAAGCAAACACTATTGTCTCTTAAAAAAATCAGCACCTTAAGTAATAGGTGAATTCAAACTTCTGCTCTCTTGTTTTTTTTAAAGATAACAAAGTGCATTAGTTGCTCTGTTGACTTTACTTAAAAAAAAATATCATTTTAATGAGACTCCCTAGTGTGAATAAAAATCTGCAGTAATGCATCTTTGAAAACAGTCTTTTTAAAGTGCTTTTGGGCAAGTTCTCATTAAAATAATTGCACTTTCCAAGGAAAAGAAGTCAGTACAGTTAGTTCCTACTTCTCTAACTGTTACTAGTTAGCAATATAAAAATATTTTGATCAAACTTAGACTGGAAACTCCTCTTCACACCTTTTCCTAAAAATATTTTAGGCTCCCAAGACCATATTTGTTCAAAATCTGCATTTAGTGGAGAAAAGGGTTGATTTTAAAAACTGTCAGCTCTATTTATTTATTTTTTAGTAAAAGTTGGCCAAGAAAAAAAAACGTAGGGACTTATAACAAACTGATTACAAACAAGACACAAATGCACCTAGGGACTGACTTAGACTTTTAAAAAAAACTGACTTATTAAGCTATAATAACCAACATAATAAAAAGACTTTTTTTTTCTTAAGTGTTTTTTTTAAACAATAAGCAAACCTATTCTCATTTAAAAATTTATCTCTCCCCGGCAACGGCGCCAAAATTTGTTAGGCGTGTCGTAGCACCTACAAATTAATTTATTCTTTTCCTTTACTTAGTTCCTTCTTGTAAAAATAATATTTATTAAATCTATAGATAGGATAAGTAAGAGTCGATCCCACGAGGAAAGATATTTTTTAGGCTATGAAAATCGGTTTACTTTGTCTCTTTTTATTGAGTGAAAACAACTATCTAAAATCTATAAACTAAATTAAAAGATGGGGGGGTTTGAAAATTGTTTTCTAAATAAAGTAAAAAAACTAACTAAAGTGACACACCACGCCAGAACAAATCTCAAAACAAACCAAGGATAAAAACAGAACATAACTCCACCAAAAAGCCCAAACGAAGAAGACAAGCACACATATCACAATAATTTAGAGTCTTACACAATTTTAGAAAACCAACAAACTGTTTTATAATATAAAAAATAAATATCCAGGATCAAAACTTTGTTGAAAACTAGCATAATCATCAACCAACTATAAATTAAAACAAGGGTCCGGCTGAAAAAGAGGTCCACCAACGGTTCTTTCCTATTTTCCCATTCATAAAAGCTCATGTTAGGACCAACCCTAACTCTAAACCCTACTACCCTTAGCAACCCAAAG